CTAACATTTTGTTAATCACCGGCTTACGTCCATGAAATTTTGCTAGATCAATAGCTGCCACGAGTCTGCATTCAATATGTGCAAACGCACCCACATATATTGTTACTAGTTGATATGCTTTTTCTCTGTCTGATACACCTTTAACAGCTAAATTATAACGTTGGTCTATTTTTTCAATCAAATGCTGTTTTTGTGTATTATTCAATACATCAACTACTTTACTCATATATGCTTTTTGATTTACTAACCAAGACTGGAGTTCTGACAACCGTTGATACGCTATTTCTAAACTGCTCATACCTTTTCGTAACGGTAGTTTTTTACGTGTATCCTGTCTCACTATTGTTTTATATTTTGTATCTTTTGATCCTCCTTCATCATCTGATTCAATTAAAATATCAGCTATGAGAGCTGTTTGCAGTAACATTGCTTGAATCATAAAAAGTCGACTTGTACATTTATTATCGTAGTAATTACGACTTATAGTGAAACTTCGTTGTGCTGATATTAAAAATTCATTTTTATCAGCATTATTCAATATTGTTGGATCAGCTTTGATTTCTCTCCCACTAATGGTTGCATGCTTTCTTGTTACTAATTCCACGTTCATTTTAACAATTTCCTGTTGCACAACAGCTTTTATGTATTTTTCAATTAATGGAGCTGTTTTCAATTTCGCAGCTCTTTGAGCAATACAGTTCATTTCATCATTCAACTGGTCTAGTATTAAATCATATAGTTCAGCTAGCATTTTTTGGAGTTGACTACGATGCTTAATAAAATAATTTGCTGTCCATTGACATGCTTCATGGCGTAATGTTTGCAGCTGTGCAGCCGTTCGCTGGCTGGTCACTAATGCAAAATCGAAAAATGCATCAATTACAGGTAGCACTAACTGACTGACTTTTTTTGCTATTTTCAGATCTGAATTAGCAACAAACTGAATCATACGGCTGATTGTCGTTCGATTCATTTCACTGCCTAATGGATCCAAATCCGAATGAACACTAACAATATCGAAACAATGACATTTCGCGAAAGATTCTGGTAATCCGCCTGGAAACTCACTGGCCATACTTGGCACTTTAAGTAAAAGGTTATAACGTGTTTGTCGTTCAGCTAACAGGATTTCCGGCCACTTTTCATCTTCGATTCCTTCGCCGTTCGGGTCAGCATCAGCCAGTATTACTGTTATATCAGCTTTTGTATTCAAGAAAAACATACTCGTATCAGCTAACTGACCTAATGCATCTTTCACTGCAAGAAAACAATCTTGTGAATCAGATGAAACTGCTGCATTATCATACATAAACACAAGAGTTGGTTTGACTAATTCCACTAACTCACGAAGATTTTCTTTCAAAACGAGTGGATCAGAAAACAAGAGACCTGGCGTGTCATAAATATCGATGCCCAATTTTAAAAACGATGAAGGAATTCGTAATTCAACAAAGTATTTAGCCCACTGGGCAAATTCATTCGAATGAGGTTTTATATTTTCAGTATCAGGCCGTTCAACATGTACTCGGATGGCTGTTTTCACACCATCCCAATCCGGTTTTTGACCATCAATAAAAAATTCGACTAAACTAACCTGTACAATCACTTCCTTATTATCCAGTGAGGGATACACGATTAAACAGGCATCTCTAACCGTAGCATAAGTTAATCGAATAATGCGTGCACTAGTTGAACCTACATCTGCTGGTAGAAATGAACCGGATCGCAATAGCAGATGTAAAAATGATGTTTTTCCACATGAATTTGCACCGACGAATGCCAGTTGTACTCTATCTGACGTAACTTGTTCATTTAATGATCGAATTTCAACAGCATCAAAAAATGGCTGAGCGTTTTGTTCAACTGTGATTGTATCAAGTCTTTGTACTTGCATACTTTTCAGCAGATCATTTTGTAACGTTAAAAATTTATTCGTGGCATCTTGAACTGTTTTTCGGATATAATGATTACTCTGGATGATTCGAGCCAATTCGGAATGCTCGTTGGAAATTGAGTGTTGCTCCATAGTCTAGAAAAATGAGTTTACTGCTGTTTTGGATCAAAGTGGTTCTTTTATGCTGTGCCACTAGTTGAGCAGCAGTTAGGGCTGTAACATCAAATTAAAACATTGTTTAGCGTAGGACACTTTCATTCCTTCGTTTTACATTGCACTACAAGACGAAGGTTTATACCGATGTCTATCAATCTCGTTCAACAGTCAAAAAGCAGAAAAATCCTGTAAGTCCTTCGAAAGATAATCTCTGCCGGAATAGCTATTTGACCTTATGATCTAGATAAGACAACTAACAGCCAAGGCGTACATTAATTTTGATTTAAAACTTGAAGAAGCATGTTCATCGATTTTTACTGAGTCGGTCAAAACAAGCCATCGCCACACACCCCAAAGATTGTTTCTTATGTCCAAATCTAATCAGACTTTTAAAAGATGACAAGAACCAGATAAATGTCTTACAAAAGTTTTATAAGTTTCTTACGAATTTCTTATATAAGAAGTTCCACGAAAGTGATAAGAAATTCACTGGTTCTGATAAGAAATTTGTACGAGTCTTACAAGATATTATTAAGAAATCATAAGAATTTGAAAAAAGGCTGTTTTATATCTGCTAGAAAGTACCTTAAAGAATCCGATGGGTGAACTGAGCCAGTTTCATGCGACTTTTGCAAAAAACAAGAAAAAACACGCATGGTCCGTGGCAGGGATCGAAGCGGCGTACTATATCCTGACAATCTGAGTTATATAACGGCACGGACAAATACCTCCGCTACTAGAGTGACATTCAATGACGAAATTTTGATATTTTCCTCTGTATGTATTTTTTTAACGAAAGTACGTGCAGTGCTGTGAACACCTAGAATTGTAAAGCAAACGTTTCTTTACAAAATGAGGCGTCTGGAGACTCGATACGTTTCTTTGTTTAAAAAATAAAAGGAAAATACAAAATGCCCTTCTTAGGCTCATTTTGAACCTAACACCCTCGCCCTTCCCAACTCTCTCTGCGTTTTTCCCGTCTCTAGATGTGTTCCTCTCCAGCTCAGTCTCTGTTCTCAAGTAAAGCGTTCTTCTATTAGTGGAACGCAGTCTCAGTCTCAAGGAACGCGTTCGGGAGCGTTTTGCTTTGCTTTGTTCTAGATTCGACCTGGAAACCTTTTGATCACATGTCTAATAAGTCTTTTTTAGGCTATATCGCGCTTATTACTTACGAATTGAATTCCATGTTTATATTTAGCGAGAAAGTGGATTTAGACATTCATTCGATATTTTAACGCTAATATCACTCTAATCGAATTTCGAGATGACTAAAATAGTTTTTAGGATGATGTTGGTGAGATGTTGGGAGAGGAGACACTAGATGATCTCGTCAGAGCCGCAAGAGATGGTAGCTATGGCTGAGACTGAGTGAAGAATGAGAGAAATGTAAGTATATGGGGAAGCGAAGAGAGAGGAGTGTGGACAACGAGATGGATGAGAGAGAGATGGGGACACGAAAAAACAAAGTCCTGACAACCTAGGCGAACAAGCGCAGCACAAGTCCGTGTCCAAAAACTGAGATATAGGATTCCTAACCTATCGGTTTTTTCGAATTCTACCGATACAGGAATTCCTATTTCTCGGTTCTTACATAGTCCTCAGAAGTACATCACCCGCGTTCATATGCCACTTGAGATCTAATCAGTTCTTCTAACTTGGAACAATTAACAACGCGTTCGTTTTCTTCTGGCGCGTTTCTCTCACTTAACAACACGTACTTGCTGAATGAATCCGTACTCTCGAAGAACGGACTCTTCAGGAATGCATTCTTGTTAAACGCTGAAGCGTTTTAAGACTGTAAGAACGCGTTCGCACAGTCAAAGAACGCGATCGCTCTTCAACGCATTCGAACGCGTCCCTCAAGAACGGGTTCTTATCAATTGGGAACGCATTCAATGACAACACGTGTTTTCTGACAGGGAATGCGTTCGTCTTTACTCGGAATGCGTTTGAACGCATTCTTAGTCAGTCGCTAAAACGCGTTCGATTTTTTCAGGAACACATTCTTGACCATTCTTTTTTATAAACTTTTTTTCATGGCTAGCAGAGTTATCTGACCGTGCCGATAATCACTAAAGCACGAATCACTATATTAAATAAAATCGTTTGAAAATGACGTTGGGAAACAACATTCTCTTTAGAATCGGACATTAAGGACATTTAGTAAGCGTGACCTACCGCTTACTTGCGAGGATATGCGCCCATCATCCATCAGGAGGCTCATGAACAACATTCGAAACAAGTTTATTTACCTGTTTTAATGTGTTCTTTGTTCTTATCTTCTTTCGTTTTCTTTTTAAGTGGTGTGAAGTTATGTTGTTGAATATTGTTTCTGTAATTTTTTTATCTTTTGTTTGTTGTTTAGAGGTCGGTTTTCTGTTTTCGTAGAATACAATTCTTTTCTTTTAGTTCTTATCTATTAACCCAATCTTTTTTCTTTCATGACCAGAAAATGTACGTCAACGGCAAGTTCAGGTGGTATAATTCTGTCTAGAAAAGATGCTAATTCAATCAAATCATCTTCTATGATTAATAGTTATATATTAAATAATCGTCGCCGAGAATATAGGCTGGTTATTTCACACTCTGACTTTTTACTATTACGTTTACAAAACTAGAGTTTGTACAAGATAACCAAGATATCACTAGCAAATTGCAAAGATAATCTGTGATTTAGTCGCCTATCTCATCCTGTTCTCTGCGACAAGTAAGACGATTATATATAGTTCATTTTCTGCCTGATTAGAACGAAAATTAGAATCAGTCATGAAATACCTCAACAGGTTTCTTTTTTTCCTTTTCATGACGGTAATGATTCAGTTATAGGCGTGCATGGAGAACACATAAAAAATGGTGCTTTTCGTAGAATGCCTATAACTTAGTCAAATAAGAATCTGGCGCTGAGGGAAAGGTATCATTTCAAGGAAGACACCATGGACCACAAGAATCACGGCTCAAAAAAATTTTCCGCTCTGTACGAATGTGAAAAAATATTTCTAGATTTTAGGCGTGAAATTTTTGACTTTTTTTAAATATTGTTCATTTGATTAAATTTATAACGTTTTAACAGAACGTTGCACACAGTTGAGCTAGTCTCATGTTGTGGAGAATTTTGTGCTTTACAAATTGCTGATCGTAACTGAAAATCGAAGTTTCGATCAGATAAAGAGGGAAGGGATACCCTTAATGTAAACTGAGTCAGACAAAGATGCTGTATTGGATAGTAAAGTAGAAGTTGATATGCAGTTATATGTCTATATACTTCGTCTATCAATTACACGGGTTGAGGCGACAATTTCGCGTTAAGTTACAAATAAGCGTTAAGTGGAGCGATTGTTGTTAGCATACGTGCAAGGATTCTTTTGAAATATATTAGAAAAACACGTTATGTCAAAAATGTTTTGGAAATATCTACCTTAACAGTTTCTGTAGAACCATTCCAGCATAACGGCGTCCTTGCCTAGGGTAACGATGGCTTCCATTTAATAATAAAGTTTAAACCAAATAAGAAGAATGAAAGAGTGGATGAGTTCACTAGAGAAATTTACGAAGAACTGACAGAAGTTTGTAAATTGAAAGACGTAGTCATATCACCGGACTTTGAAAGTTTCAGATGCGATTTGAGTCCAGGGTAATGCAATATTCGGAATGAGTATGGTCGATTGTGTATGATATGGCATGTTTTTTATTTCGAGGTACTTCCTAAAATTCAATTCGAGGGCATTAAGAAAAAGCTCGAAAATAATTTACGTGCTTACGAGGATTCGAACATCGATACTGTCTCATCGTACATGTCAGTGATCGTTTTGACCATTGTGGTATTAACGCTCTTCGATAAGTAAATACATTTTGTACTGTAGGTGTTGCCGTTTGCCATCGATAAACTTGAATACCTAAATATCAGCTTTTAAAAACTTTTAGAACAAAGCAAATTTGTTTTTCTCAGTATCGTCTAGGCAAGAGAATCCGATAAAATAAATCTTTCAAAGAAGTTTTCGTGATCTTAAATTATGATGAATCAATGGTAGAGCAAATGGCCAGTAATGACTTGATTAGCACCTGTATCATAAACGAACCACCCAGTCTTTTTCAGCAAAGAATTAAAAAAGAGCCTTTTATTTGTTCTTGATTCAAATGAACATCTCTGTAGTGCAAATATCAGCGCAACTGAAGAGCACCGAATCAACAAGAGCTGTCATTTTTAGTAAATGCTGGGATAGAGAGCTAATTTCAAAGAGTATAACATATATTGTAACAGGAGACAGAGAAAATGAAGAGCAGTTCAAAATTGTTTGCCTTTTAACCCTGACTCTAACGAAAACTTGTTGAGACAAACTAAATAAAAAACTTTTAAAGGTTTCAAACTTTTTTCAAGGACTTTTTTATATCCTTTATACCTATCTTCTTCAAGAGCACAAAAACAAAAAATTGCTGCCCGTCGGTTCATATAATAAGCTCTTCAGAAAAAAAGTTTGGACCGATTCTGTTCTCCGTATAAAAAATCGATTTTGCGCTAATGTTTTAAGAGTAAAGTTCGGTTTTTTTTTTATAAGATTTGAGTACATGAATTTATTTAATACTTGAGCGATAGTTATTACTAGATTTTTATTAGTATTGAGTTTACTTGTATTAGCAGAAGGTATTACTATGTTATTATTTGATCAAAATTTTAAGACTCTTTTTTTGAGAAATTGTGAGAAATTTTTAAGATTGAATTACTTTAGGGTTAACAGGATAACATATATTCTAAGATCTTATTAAAATTTATGATTATTACCTCGATGTTGGATCATTATTGATAATTAAGTAGAGGTTAGACTAGCAAATTCTACGTGATCTGAATTTAGACCGATTTGATGTAGACTATCAAATTTTACGTAATTAGAATAGGAAAAATGTTGTTATTCATGAAATATTGATTATTAATAATTTATTTAAGTGATATTTTTGTGTTTGTATTAAGGTTCCGCTAATTCAAAGATTAAGCAAAATTTTGTTTTTGCCTGAAATATATACCATTCGACGCAGAATTCCACACTGCACACGAATATCATACTCAGCAAATTTTTTTAGGGCGCGTTATCTCGGGGAAAATTTCAAAAAAATGAGATGATTCGTTAAAAAATCACTTTTTCCTCTGAAAAGCGAAACGTATAATTTTTCTCTTAACCTTGTTTATTTTGGAAAGTCAATTTTCTACTTAATGTCTGGCGAACTTTGTACTCAAAACTGCTTGCTTGACGAGAAAATGAGTTGAATATCGCGAGAAAATGCGAATTACAAAATTTCTGATAGTTATTAATTGTTTCAAACTAGTTAAAAAAATAGCACTAACAGTTCTGATACACTTGCTGCTACCGTTGCATACTTAGTAATAGTAACTTCCAGTGATGAAAACGTTTTAAATGTTCTTAGTAAACAAAATAGAACGTCCATATACAGTTTCCAGTCACCATCGCACTTTCGACCTTCAGAGAAAGTGAGTCTGTTTGCTTTTTTTCAAGCATTTCTTATAGAGTGCTCTCAGAGTATATTTGAACTAACTAATATGCATTTCGTTCTTTAAATTCTATTCAAAATTTCTCATCTCCTTAAAGCCACTTCTCTTGGCACTAAACGTTTCTGATCGATCTATTAAAAGTTTTGTACAAGGATCGGCATCATGTTTTTCTGCTACCTTATAGATACCAGCCTGGGACATTGCTCCTACATTAGAAATCAATTTCTATCTTCAATCATCTTTCCAAAATAGACGTTCTATTTTTATGTGGTTTAATAATTGGAAAGATGTTGATCTATGTGAAGACATTGTCGTCAAAATGGAGATGTGTGGACAAAGTGTCTAAAGACGAATTGACGAATCGCAACTTTTAAGCGTAAAAATGATGCAACAGTTCGCGTTTTACCCTTATTTTGCGAATTCGTACCGAATTGATGCGAACTGTATCGAATTCGTACGGATACTCTTAAAAACTTTTACGAATTCTTCTTGCGAATTCGTAAACAGAGAATAGATCAAAC